AATGTGGTTTACAGGAAGTGACAGCAATATGCATTCAGAAGTGAATCTTCCTCTCAATATTATCCAGCAACATGAAAAACAAGCTGTCAGCTTAAGCTGATTAAGTAACATTCAAGGTCTGAGGGGATTTGAATTTCAGTGAAGAACAAATTTTACCTGGGGGTGAAAAGGCATGTGTGGGGTAGGGAGGGGGTTTAGAATGGAAATGCTGTCAAAGCTTTAACTGTAACATAGCTAAAAGACTGTATAATTACCATTTATATAACTCCTGCAGAAGTTTAAGGGAAAAAAGCACCTTTACCTTTGTTCCAAGACAAATTGTTCTTCTGCTTCAGATCTGCTAGAGCACTTCAATTTTACCTTACGAATACAGTCCTGAGGTATTTAATTACCCTGTCAAGACCACTAAATAGTCTGGCACCATGCCCCCTCTCTCAATCTTTGCTGATTGATAGCATCAGTAAAACTCACTAGCTTTAATTAAACCTCCAAATAGGATCCCTTTTTGCTACTCACTGGATCAATGTTCTTTAGCACTGGAAAAAGAGCACTGAGAAGGTAAGGAGGGTTTCTCTCACCTTCACAGCTCACTTGCCTCTGGTATTTTAATAGACTTTTTACACAACTCAAATATATTTCATTGCTCCCCTGGGACATTAATGAAAAAAATTACTAAAAAAGTGACACTACCAAATTTTTCCTCTACAAGTATCAGTGATGAGGCCAGGAACAACCTCAATCTTATACCCGCTGCACTAACTCAGAATTAAACTAGCATGTTTCTTTTTGCAGCATTTTGTTATTTTCCATTAAGTGCACAGTGTTTTCAAGAGCACTATCTTAAGTATAAGTTAAGGGTAGAGATCTTGAGCAGTTAATTAGATGATAATTCCTCTAAAGTGAATCTTATTGTAAATCTAAGTAACAGTTCAAGGCACCAAGTGAAATTGCATTGCATAATGCCAAGTTTTAAGGATGCTGCCTCAGAGGGCACAAATGAAGTTGTGGCACATCTCACTTCAAGGCTTCCCTTGCTGTACTGCACTACTTTGGGCATTTATAAAGCTGATAATTCAGTATTCACCCCTCTACTGAAGTCATAACTAGCTCTTCTCATTACATATCTTTCTACAGTAGAGCAGTTAACCGGGTGATGACAACAAAGTAGGACATCTGTGCTTCTAGTCAAAGAATTTGTCAAATTTCATTCCAACAGGAAGTTGGCAGAATGTTACATGTTAAGCCTTTTTTTTTTAAATATATGCAAAGCTATTAAGGAGTGGGAAGAAAACCTACAGATTTAATACTTTAGATAAAATATTTCTCAAACCTCTATTCCCCTGACAGGTGATAATTACCCATGTAAACACCCTAACAGTTCAAAGAACTTAAGAGAAGGAAACCTTACTAAATCTGATTTTCAAGAAGCACTAGGCTAGGTAAAATACAGCTGGATAATCAATGCTACCTTATAAAAAAGGACAACTCCTGGGCCTCTAGCCTAGGCAAACTATTTTCTTTCTCCTTTCCAACACAAATTTGCATACATGTCTACACATCTATCACCAGCATGAATAAGAAAAGTCTGCCAGATTCCACATGCAGAGGCTCTGTCACTTCAGGCCCTCCTGCACTGGAGAGCTGGGGAACAGGACAGCAAGAAGCTCGTCAGCCCCAGCTCACCTTGCCAGGTAGGAAGGAGCATGGCCCTACTGCCATCTGCAGTGTCCTCTTAGCAGCCATCATCCACAAAAGACCATGTCCATCATTCAAGCAGTGTGGCATCCACAGAGAAAAGCCAAAGAGCTTTTTCCTGTGTTCTCCTGCTACTCTTAATAGTCTCAGTAAATAGCTGCCTCCCATTCAGCATCTTACACAGCTCTGTACCAGTTCAAGGCTAGGTCAAGGTTTGCCCACTCCTCTTTAGTCAGAGGATCTTACTACACTTTCTTTTTAATATAGAAGTCTTTTACATCACACTGAATTTAGATTATCTATTCAGATTATCTCACAGTAAATTCACCTGCATCTGTTTTTCTGAAGGAGTTTTCCCAGGAGCAAGTGGAGGGGAAACCACTGAGCATTTCCCCTCTCCCAAGCAGAAGCCAAACCAACAAAACATGCACTGAATTTTCCTATCACTATGTGCACATCAGTGACTCTTATATACAGTCTGGTCCTCCAAGTTTTCCACATTTGGGAAGAATTGATCTTTCCAGGACAACCCAAATGAAAGAAAAAAATCATGGACAAGTAAGTGGGTAAGTAGAAAAATCACTTCAGGCACAGAAATCTGCATTTTCACTGGCTCTCAAATAGAACAGAGCCAAAGTACTTCCCAGCAGCACCTTCCTTCAAAATCTATTTTTTTTTCTTTTGAAGTCAAACTATCCACTAACACTATCCTATCTCATCATTTTTTATATAAAGGTATGTATAAAAAGCTCAATGACATCCATTTTCTAAAGTGGAAAGTACATCCAAGGGTTGGATTCTGAGCTTGTCAGATTTTTTTATGTGTGTTTTGTTTTTGTTTTTGTTTTAAATCGAAATATCAACTCTGGACAAAGAACAGTGTAGTCTACAAACTGTAGAGAGTCTCTGTAAAGGTCCTGGCACTGAGATCTCATAAGTGACTCTCTCCACCCCAAATGTTGCCCCCAGAGGCAGCAAAGGCCTCAGACATCGACTTTTACTTCTGGTCAGTATTGCCTCCAGGCTGTTCAGAGGAATATGTAAATTACAAAGTGCTTTACAGTAGGCTGGGCATTTCTGTTCGCTCACAGATAAAGGCAAATGCTCTTGCTAAGTCTCCTTTCAACTCACTGCCACACAGGTATCTTGGTTCTTTTAACGGGAGATGCAACTGTCCAATGTACAAATGCCTCAGTCTTCAAATATATTAGGGTTCCCCCTTGCTTCTGCCCCTCCTGCAGTGTAGAAGGTAAAAATCAGCCTCTTAAACAGCATCTCAGAATTTAGTCATGAAAACTTGCCTGAAACCCAGCTTGTGTCCAAGAAGGAAGAAGAGTAAAGGAGAAAGGACTGAAGCAGTTTTTGACCCTCAAGTCATGCACACTAACACCAAAAGATGATACTGAAGTTGAACAGGGCTGAATGTGGGTAGCTAGAGTCAGAATTTTACCTGTAACATGAACAAGAAACATTTACAGATACTTATTTTTTCTAACTAAACAGAGATGTTTTTCATTTTGATGAAGAGGTCATCATTTCAGTTTGTAACAACTCAAAATGTTTCAGATTTTTGTTGGCTAAGGACATCTAAGGCATAAATCCCTGAAAATTTACATGTATGCTTTAGTCTCACTGCAAGAGTCACTGTCTGGTATTATTTACAGCCTACAATTCTACTTTCATGTCCTGAGAAGACAAGAAAGGAAAACCACCAGTGTCACCACCCACATCCACCTACTCTATTTTCTTATTTATTTTTCCCCATAGACTTTTATTACAATCAATTTTCAGTTGCAGAAATACAGTGACTGTTTGCATTAATCACTTAGCAAGATAAAACAGGATTAAGAATACATATACCTGCAGCATAAAGTAAGTCACTCGAAACCCCCTTAGGGAATTATTTTGATTTGGGAGACCTGGCTTGAGTCTCTAACATCATCCTTTTTTGCTTGGCTATATAGTCACCAGAACTTCCAACTTACCACCCTGGACAGATGCAATTTGTCCAATTTAAGACATTAAATGCAAAGATACAGTGTACCTGCAATACTATTGAAACGTAAACCCATTCCCTTTCTCACAACCACCAAAAAAGACAGCCTCAAAAACCTGGAGCATGAAATTACTTTCCTCAATTTTCCCCCAAAGCAGAAAATGGGACAGACTGCCAATGGGCAAGAAGTCTGCCAGAAGCACATAGGGAGCTTTCTGCAGCAAAGCATCTATCCATGTCTTTCATCCACTGTTATTGTTAGCCATAATTCACTGTTTGTTGAACAGCAGTATTTAAGTTTCTAATAGTGTAATCCATTTTATTAAATCTTATGAATCTAGAACAGGTAGGGCATTCTAACCATAATTACTGACATCTTATTTTTGTCTCAGTCATCCTTAAGTGGCTCTGCATTGCTTTTTAAGTTCAAAGCTTTTCAGAGGTGAGCTTTATTTTATGGCTCAAGTATAATCCTAGTTAGAGGGCAGTCACTGTCCAAGTGATCAGCTAGCAAATCCTGCTGTTTAATGAAGAAGAATGGGCTGGTTGGAACATGGACTGCCTTCAGGCATCAACACCTGCGAAACGTGTTCAAAAGTCTGCATTCCCTGATAAATTTTATTTCATTTCCTCACCCTCTCAAGATTTCAGAGCCCAAACAATTGCTCAAATGAGTATCTTCACTCTTTTGATAATAGAATAAGACAGTAAATGAGAAAAAGTAACTTAAGATTTCTGTTTCTAGAAATTCAAGAAAGTGAATTTAATAAACGAGAGGTGCAGGAGTTACAAAACAAAAAAACAGGAATCCCAAACAGTGGACCTAGAGAGTAGAGCCCTAGGACTCCAGTAATTACAGATAACCAAAACAGTTATTTCAGCATTTCCTTTTAAGGATTTGTAAGAGGAAAAAAGACATTAGCAACCTAAAAAGGGACTATTAGTAAGTTATACCATCTTCTCTGAGACAGTAATGAGAGCGCACATAGTGCAGTGTTCAGACCATATGCAATACTGCATCTCTGCAACTAAAGCACACAATGCAGTTTCTCAGTTAAAACAATTCAAGCTCACATCTAAAATGTTACCAAGTGCATAAAAAAATTGAAATGTTCTATACTTAATCATAATCTAAATATAAACAGACTACAAAGGACTAACCATCTGCTACATGGTGAAATCCCAGTCTGTTCTATTGACATTAGCAGAATGCTTAAGTTACACTTGGAAAGGGAAAACACATCATGCATCAGATCAACAAGAAGTCAAAACACTTCAGTTTCTTTAAATCATAATTAACATTACATACTTTTATGGTTTTAGTTTGAAGTCTCAATCCATTCAGAGTGTTGATAGCTTTTTCAGCATCCTTGGGGTCAACGTAGTTCACAAAACCATAACCCAAGCTCTGTCCTGATGAGAAAGAGGAAGAAGAGTGATCATTAGTACTGCAGTGCTACACAACAGGTAACTCACCATGTTTATAACCTATATTTAGGCACCCTGAGCAAAAATTGCTTATATTAAAGAACAGCATCTGCCGCTGATAAAAGTTTAAGGCTCACAACACCTAGTTTCTCCAGCAAGCTTAGTGTTTAACTAGCTTCCTCCATTCCCATGGACTGCCTTAAGTTCAATGCAGGAATGGCTACAGTCGGTTTAATGAAAGGCTTAAAAATTGCTATGCAAAATAGGTTCAGGAGTTTGTTATGATCTGTTAAGAGACTAGAGGAAGTGAGGAAGTACAGGAGCTTCAAGGTTAAGACAACATCAGAAATCCACCTCTCACTTTTGAACTTTTTAATTGAACATAGCAAGTATAGTGACAAAATTCTGAACCAGTGCCTGAAAATGTGGGTTTTCAACATACTTCAATATCAGAATTTGAGCCAAATTTGAAGCCGAACATTTCTACAGGTGTTATTCACATAGTAAATACAGTCTGTCAGTAACATTCTTCCTGATCTCCTCCTCAAAACAGTATAAACAAACACAAGTCAATTGGCCCAATGAAGCCATGAACAGGTTAATATGTGCAAAGCTATTAACAAAAAACATCTAAAACTCAACTGGACAAAATCCTGAGCAATCTGCTCTAGACAACCTTGCTCTGAGCAGGAGGTTGGACTGCATGAATCCCAGAAGTGCCTCCAACCTCAGCAATCCTGTGTTCCTGTAACAAACAATATGGAAACATGCAGAAGCATTTCTGTATTCATTTACAGCTCTACGTACATACAGATAAGCTCCTTATCCTAGAAGTGCCTTTTTCCTTATTAGTTTCATGACATTAGAGTAATTTCAGCACCTGTCACCTCCATCACTCCCACTGTCTGCAGAAACTCTTTCCAGCATCTCCAAAAAATACCAACTTCAAAGAATGCCTGTTCTTGTGCAAGGCTTTTATTTTAGTCTTACTTCCTAACACAGAAACGCTGATTTTTGGTGTTATCGCTAATCTCCTAGGAAGAAGCCCATTCAAACAACAACCATAAAAGACATTAAAATCTTTAAGAGAAAGCTACTTCACGTAAGACATTCCCAATACACTACTCACTAATTCCAGAGTGAGCAGAAAAAGACGTGCACAATTTGTTTCTACTACCCCTCTGTTCACATGATCTATTATTCACATTAAAAACACCCAGACCACAGCAGGCAAAGAGCATATCCAGCTGTTACAAAGGATACAATTCATGACTGGTTCTTCTGCAGACACTCTATTAGTTAAGCTTGATGAATATTAGACTAATCTAGGAAGCCACACAAATGAAATCCAGTAATTTATTCAAGACAATCTTGAAAGCATTTTTGCAGGTTTACTCTGCAAAATAGCAATTTGTAGAAGCTTTCGTTGTGAGAGTGTTGGAACACACAAGCAGACCACCCAGAGAGGTCTTTAAGTTCCCATTCAGGATGATACTCAAAGTTTGACCAAATACGTTCCTGGGCAACCTGCTCAGGGAAAGCCTTCTTGAGGTGGGAGAGTTGACTATATTTATCTCCTGACGTCCCTCCCACCCTCAATGATTCTGTGAATGATTTTATGTATAATTCAGTTTTGTTTAATTTGGGCTATCATCAGAAATTCAAAGGTGTTCAGATCCAGTATTCTAAAGGCCTTATATATTTGAAAATGTTAAGAAAAGGTAAAACTTCCTAAAGAGATCAAAATTTTGCCTGAAGATTAGTGGTTCAATTACACATTACCAATAATTCAGAGTCAAAAATCACTTTCTTCACAGAAGCACATAAGATAGATCAATCTCAGCTCTCAACAAGCAATATAATTGGAAACTGAACCTGATTTTCTGGAATCAGATGCTTGAGGGACCACTCTTAAGTCTTCCTGCTTGGTTTAAGGGAAGACGCTTGTTTAAGAGGTTTGCCAGTTCATATACAGATGGCTGAGTTTCAGAAAACCCAGACAAGCGTTTCACAAAATGCAGCAGAAGCAACTATTTCGAATGACCCATTGGGTATCCCTATTACTGCAAAGTATGTCTGACAGCTCGAGGTATTTCTCACTCGGTGGGAAAGTGCCAACACGGTTTCAACAACTCAGAAGCTCAGTTCTTCCTGAGTGTTTCACTGATGTACAGGACTTCAGTTCAAACTTATGCCAGTACCACTGCGGCTGTACAAGCCAAAGAGAAGTCCCATCTGACTGTGGATCTGACTGAGAAAGAGCAGCATACCCACGGCACACAAGTTTTACTCTAATGAGATTAGAGATATCTGGCCAATATGATTCAAACTAGTTCTTCCTTCTATGCAGTTTTTTTTCCCCTCCTCAATATCTAAACTTTTTACTTTCAAGATAAACCAAGTAGAAGCTAGATGCACTTAAACCAAATCAGCCACCACTTAGAATACCTAAAAAGAGGAACTTCCATTATTTAACAATTTTAGTGACTAGTTTGTATTGCCCGAAACCAAAGATTAAACTGAGCACAGACAGAAAACAGCTCTGGACTCTTCCATCTGTGCCTGTTCTACAGCAAGCTCCATTTGCCAAGGCATAAATCTCCTGCAGAACACACATTTCTTTAAGCCCAGAAACACCCTTAAAGTAGATTATGTTGTCTGAGTTCACACAACAGAGTGAAGGAAGAAAGAAGGTAAATCTATAGTTTTCCACAAGTTAAATAATCCTCAGATTTAAATGTGTATCAAAAGGCAGTTTAGTCTCATACTGTTTTAAGACAGGGTCAATTAATTTGGCTCTTGCCTCAGCTTTGTGTTTCCAACTTGTGCTTAATGACACTATAGTCTGAAAAACCTGACACCTCTCTAGGTTAGCTGTCCTGGTGCTCTGTCTACTATTATGTGTTTAGGTATTTTGAATATCCAGTTTAGCCTTTCCTAGACGTTCAGAATTATGGCCTACTCAACCTCAACACACAAGGGATTATCTGTGCACATTAGCTATTTATACCTAACTCAGAGCTAAGAACAGTATTAAATTTAGCTTATCCTTAAGAAAGGAGTGACTGAGTTTCTCATTTTTGTGAGCTATCACTTGGTCCAGTAAGAACATACTCACCACCTTCAAGAATACTCTGCTTGTTTGCAGGAGTGAGCAATACTTCGGAAGCTACATAGAATGGTTAAAGTTGGAAGGGACCTCAAAGATCATCTAGTTCCAACCCCCCTGCCATGGGCAGGGAAACCCTCCACTACACCAGGTTGCCCAAAGCCTCATCCAACCTGGTCTTGAACACTTCCAGGGATGGGGCATTCACAACTCCTCTGGGCAACCTGTTCCAGTGCCTCACCACCCTCACAGTGAAAAATTTCTTCCTTATATCTGATCTGAATCTGCCCTCTTTCACTTTAAATCCATTGCCCCTTGTCCTATCACTACATATCCTTGTAAAAAGTCCCTCTCCAGCTTTCCTGTAGGTCCCCTTTAAGTACTGGAAGGCTGCTATGAGATCACCACGAAGTCTGCTCTTCTCCAGGCTGAACAGCCCCAACTCTCTCAGCCTGTCTTCATAG